ATAGATGGCCGAGTTATAAATATCTTATGTCCATTAAGAAAGAACTAGATTATGAAAATTCTTTTCAAATCCTCCCGGATATTCCAATATACCTCCTCATGGAGGGAGTAGTAAACATATTCTAACATACAACATAACTAACATAATAATTATTCTAATAAATAATTCTTTCCAAAAACTGAAAATAATTTCTATGACAAAAACCCATGTATAAAAAATATTTTTTTCATGCAATGTTTTTATCAGGCGAGAATCATTATTTCAGTTTTCAAAATAGTATATAATTATTCTATATATAATTCTATTATGTACATAAAGCACACAAAAAACTAGGCATGATGAAAAATATATTGATATGATTATTCTAGGATATTACAGTTCTGAGAATGAAAATTGCCTCCTAATGTTTTCTTTCAATGTAGACAAGAGACACTTGCTGTCCAGACTTAAAGTCAATACACTTAGAAAGATTAGCCTTTTAAATTGGCTCATTCCTTGTTTCTGTACAAATAGCCAAGGTGGATGAGTAATACTAGCTTACGTTCAGTAGCTAGACATGCAGTCAGTATTCAAGGAGGTTATAGCTAATAATCAGCCCTGCTAATTGTGCTTAAAGCCTGACTTTTTACTTTTCCATCAAATGATTCATTTTTTTACATGTAGATTGACATTGTGGATAAGTAATACTAGCTTACGTTCAGATATCCAGTCAGTATTCTAGGAGTTTATAGCTCCTAAGAGCCTGCCTCCTATTCCACCTCCATCAAATGATTCAATTTTTTACATGTCGATCAACATAACTTCTGGATGAGTAATACTAGCTTACGCTGAGACATCCAGTCAGTATTCAAGGAGTTTATAGCTYCTAATAGTTTAGCTAAGTGTGCTTAAAGCCTCCTATTGATTCATTTTTCTATGCGTAGGTAGACAACTTAATAAGTGGACATTTTAAGTAACACTGGCATATGTTTAGAAATTCAGTCATATACTTATGATTCAATTGAAGGAGTTTATAGCTACTAAAGTGTCAAGCCAACTGTTCTTAAAGTTTACTTTTACAGAATTTCATCCCCCATAGATTTTTGTAAGCAAGAGTCTAATTTCATGAAATTGATGTTTGTCAGGAAGCAGCACTTTTAGATTTGCTTTGCTTTGCTTATAAATATTTGGTAATGAATAAATTTTTATTTTCTAAAAAGAAAAAAAGGTAAATATTTGTAAGTCAAATGTATTTTGTCTTCCTTCACTGTATAAACAGTTTTTGACACGACATAAAATTTATTGGTTACTTTTGGTTTTAAAATAATTATCTTTTGGTTAGCAACAGCCAAGCATTTGTGGTTTAGGATTTATAAAGAATCAAGACCCTTGCATTTCAATGTGATTCAATATGATTTCATGGACACTCACTGAAATACATGAATAGTGGCTCTAGTCACATGATAATAGTGCAGTCAGTTAAAATAATAATAATAATAATAATAAAAGAAGATCAAGAGCTTCTGACTGACTCCAAATTTCTCTTGGATACTTTTTTTTTTCACCCTGGCTTTCAGAGGAATTTTTTTCACAAATTTCCTGACTGAGAGCGGTGAAGCCACCACTTGCTTTCGCTGCTTAATTTGCTACTCTCAGTTAGTACCCCTCAGGGTATTTTTCCTGATAATTTTTTAAATATTTTTTCTTTTCTTTTTTAACACCTAAAACTTCCTCCATTCCTAATCTCCGAGAAAGCATGGCAACACTTTAGTCACTTAGACTTGAACTGAACTAAATCTGAATTAAAATTACCCCTTTTGAGAATAGTTAAAATAAAAAAATAATTAAGAAAAACAATATACCTCGCCTAAGCTAAAAATGTTCTACTTCTCGGGTTCACTCAACCACTTAATTAGAAATATATATAACAAAGAAAACCTGTTTACTAACCATTACAATTTAATAAAATATATCCTACGCATGTATAAACATTGTAAAAGTACATACACGTAATTAAAGTGAACTGCAAGACATTTAAGGTGAATGTATATTTCTTTTTAATTTAAAACAAAATTAAATTAACACACACACACACTATCTATTGATCGCTCAGATTGTTAATCATTGTCTTATTGTTGTGATAAAGCTAGACTTTGATTGTCTTTGAATGTGAGCATGAAGGGAACAATTTGTTATACAGATTATTAAGCTCAGCATTAAACAAAAACATGGGTGGCATGGCTGGGAGAGGGGCTTGTATTTCACCAATAATGTCTGGGTTCGATTCCTGGACTCATGCAGTGTTGTACATGTATGTACTGTAAGTGAAATCCTTGTTGGTTCTCTCCTATGCTTCTCCTGAGGGTTTTTTATTTCCGAGTTTCCAGTTTTCTAACTGGAATCCAGCGAAAGAAGAGCCACTACTAGTACTTCACATTATTTTCTTTTTTATCTTATTTATTAAAATTAACAACCAACCCCCACCCCTCCCCTAAAAAAATGCAAAGCTTAGCTATACAATTCTTTAAGAAAGCTGTACATACACGAAGCTATCCTGTAGTCAAATATTTCTTAGATGCAAGCTAAGAATAAGAACTGAATCTGGAAAAATGGATTTAAAAAAATTTAATTTACTAATGGCTGTACGTGGGGCATTCTATTTGAGAACAACCTCAACAAATCTTGCAATAATCAATATTTTCTCCCATCCAGGAAATAGACTCACCCCGACAGATAATCTTATCTATTTTATTATAACCTGTATTAATTTCAAGTAAAAATGCCGTCTACATCTGATAGCAGACAACAAAATGACCATTAACGTTTTTTAGAAAATATTTTTTGTTTATTAGCTGCCATTTACCCCACATTAGACTCATATTTCACGTTCTAATCTTGCGTAGAGATATGCAGTTTAATACCTGTAAAACCCGCTTTTTCTTGGAAGCGACATCTTTTTCTTTTGAAACAAAGTTCTTAAATGAAAAAGGATTATTAGCAGATTCCTTGTTTCCTCCACCTAAGATAAAAAAGAGAATAAGATGGGAGTGAATACATCTACCATTTTCAAGTGTAATAGATATATTTTGACTTGATAAAATACTGCTAGACATACTGCCTCTGATAACACCATATCATTTACTCAAGGCTAGTCTGACCGTTCAGTATCAGGATATTCACAGATACCAATAGTAAAATAAAAGAATACACAATCTTCATTATACAAAGAGTTTTTTGAACAACAGCAAAGGTATTCACTAAAAATACATTGAATACATTGTACACAAGTTCAGAGACTGACCCTGAAGGACAGAGAATTCAAAACTTGAGTAACGAAATAATTAAAAGACAGAAAAAATCATTTCAATCATATACAATTCTTAAACTTAAGATAAATTGAAACTAGAAAAGACTAATAAAGGGTTCAAATTAAAAATAATTTTACATTTACGCCCTTGTCTGAATATTACACCTTAGTCGACAAAGAAATCAAATTTCAATTTTGATCTTACGCTGATAAATTTTCCTGTGTCCTGATGCAGAGAAGACACGAACACGCTGAACATTGGCACCCATTTTTTCACTTGTTTCCTCTTTCATTCACTGGCACCAAATGAACACCCTTCATCACTTAGTCATGTCATTTTTAGGAATGCTTCTCTACAGGATGTTCATAAATATAAAATATGTTTATTCAAAGCAAAATTAATTGCCTTGTCTTATAGAATGAGTCAACACTAACTTGATCAAAAGCATGGCCAATTAGTAAGGTATAGTATAAGCTAAACTTGAATAGGTGTAATAGATGGGGAAAATGAGAAAAACATGAAAAGAAAATATTCTCACTTAAAAGCCAAAATACTTGATATTCAAGTTTCAAAAATTTAATAAACCATTTCATCATTGACTGTAAAATCGATAAATGCAAATAGTTTCATGCTCTTAGAAGTGTAAACATGAAAGCATATTTCATTAAATTGTACTTTGTTTGTCGCATATTTATATATTAAATTATTTATTTATTATTACTTGATGTCTTTTTTCCCATCAGGCCTTAGAAGTCAAAACTTTTAAGAAATACAAACTATATTTTAAACATTCTTACATTTAAGTACAGCGTGATTACTTCTTTATTACTATACAATATTAGGTGGTAACATTTTAAATTATTTCTTATGTCTAATATTGTTACGTATGTTTACTGTAACAGTCGTATGATCTTTATGTTCAATTTAATAATTAGTAATAGCTATTAAATAACATTACTTGCCTAAGGCAAGGATGATTTTGGGGAATATTTACTGAGCCAAAAGTCTTTGAGTGGCAAATGTTCAATATAATATCAAACCATTGAGCCTGAGGTAAATAATTGTTTTAGTATTAAGTTTTTAGACTTGAATATCAGAGAAAAGATGAAATTCAGGTTAAAAAAAACATTTTAGTGTATTAACTTCATCTATGAAAAACTTATAATCACCCCTCAAGCATTGAATATTATGTCATAATCGCTGGTTGTTCTAGCAGACACATGCGCGAAATTCTATATTATTCAACTCAAAAATTTAATACTAAGTATAAATGTTGTAGACAAGATCAATACTATAAGAAAACATAGCTCAAGTACTCAAGCCTCAAGAGCCACTTATTAACAACCAATCAAACTGCTATGAAACTTAAAGTTGAGAGACTCTTGGTGCCATAATATAAAACTATAAAATGATTAAACGTTTTTCTTGAATTCATAGAACCATATTTATTTATCATAATTATAAGTATTATTCATTTTTGGATCACATCGATTAATTTTTGCTGTATGAAAAAAAATGGTCTTCAGTTTTTCATTTTTAAACTAGACTCCTTATTCAGTACAAATAAAGTAAAATGGGATAAAATAAAACAAGATGAAAGAAATAAAGTGATAAAATATTAGTGAGTGGTCATTCACAAAGCTGAGTGCTATGGTAATAGTTCATTGAAATTCAATTGCCTGTCACAACCAAGCTTGCTTGCAAGTTTCAACTGACAAGTTTTTGAGTGTTATTGTTCAACAGTAAATTGAATACAAAAGCCAATCATTATAATAAGGCATCTGACTAGCAATGCATATTCAAATCTTGTAGTCTTTCAAGGTTTCACCTTGACCATTTGTAACCCTTGAATTTAGCAGCTGTGTCAAAATGAACACCAGAAATAAGAAGTAGAGCACCTTGATTATTACTAGTGAGTCCAAGGAAACGTTTCAGCTCATAACATGTGACATATCAGCTCATTTTTTGAGTAGTCAGGATCATGGCCTATTAAGACCAATAGCTCATTTTCCTTCATTTTTTCCTGGCTAATTTACTGTCACCTTAGGGTATAAATAACAATGACAGAAAGCAAGAACCAATAAATTATTACTTTTTCTTCTGACTCAATCTCGAAAATGAACAGCATTACTGTTTTGTACTCTTTGGTCTATTTATTCAAGACTTCAATGGTTAAAGTTCATGGTCATACAAATACTGCCCTTACCAGCTGCTGTTTTATGGGAAGAACAATTTATATCAAATTTAAGGTTTTACTAGGAACCAAACCTGCTAGACTTCCCTCATTCCAAATACGTTTTGAAGGATGTCCAAAACCTTTTATCAAAATGCTATTTTTCTGGCTTATAACTTGCTTTAGATTTCAAGATAGAAAGCAATAATTAAAAGTTTGTCTATGATCCAGCAGAGCCTTCCCCAAGGGCTTCCTTTGGCTGAATTGATTCGTTATCAAAGTGATATATCAGCACATGACTGTTTGWTGCAAAGGRACTATTCTGCATTAAAATATATRGCYGAATTTAACTATAACATTAAACCATTAGCAGCTGATAAAAWATAATTTGACTTTTATTTGGGTTTAGTAAAACAAAAATTATAAATATTTTATRACATGGAAAACAATTAAATTCTTTCATTTCCTAAAACCCTTTCAGCTGATAACTAAAGATGGTTTGTGTGTAGACAGTGCTTATAAAATACATTTAGTTAGTACTAGACTAATATATTTTTATAACAGGGATGAATGAATCAATGGATTAATGGATGGGTTAAGTAAGATTGAATGAACAAATGAATGAATAAATGTATGACTGAATAAATAAATTAATG